GCTGTGAAAAAGTCCAAAGGCACTTAGATTTCTGATTTTTTTTGTATTTGACCACCTCTATCCCTCTCTCTGGAAGCTCCATAGAATCATTTTCTGCCCCTGGTGTTCTGAAATTTCACAATAATGTGCCATGATGCAAGTCTATTTTCAACCGCTTTGCTAGGGACAGTGGGCCCTTGATCTAGAAACTTGTGTCCATCAATTATGGGAAATTTTTTTAAATGATTTCTTTAATAACTTCTTTTCTTCTCCTTCATTTTCTGTCTCCCTTTCCTCCTCCTCCTTTTTTTTTTCAGTTATCTCTTTCTGAAAATATTATTTGAATTGGTTGACTGATTTTCTATTTCCTCTCCTATTTGCATTTCTCTTTCTGTCTTTTTATGCCTTTTGGGAACCTTCCTCAATTTATTTATCTTCCAGCCCTTTAGGAAGACATTTTTGGCATAGCATGCCATTCTGGTCTCCTGGGTCCAATATCTTGTTTTATCTCTCTTACAATGTTAATTATGGAATTTTTTTCAAGAGTTTTTCTCTGCAAATGGTCTGTATTTGATCCAGAGTTCTGTTTCTTTGTTTAATTGACTGCTTTGGTCTGTGTCTTTAATGCTAGAGACGTTTCTCAGCTATCTGGGGATTTCTGGCTGCCTGCTTATTTTTAAAAGCAGGGGACTAAAACTCTCAGTTGGAGAGGGGTTTGAGAAGGGAGCAAAGGCAGCGTGTGTGTTTAATTCACCATCTTCACCCAGTTATGCGTTTATCTCATTAAAAAGTGAACAACACCATGGTGTAAATCCACACCCTAATGATAAATGAATAAGTATAATAACCTATCTCCAAAACCACATCTTTTCCTTCTTAGCCCTTAAAGAAAAAGAAGGAACTATTTCTTTTCCAAAATTCCCGATTGTAAAAAAATAACATGAAATTCGCATGTGAATTTGTGACAAGTGTAAACCACTCTAAAATTGTGAATAGGTTCGGATATCATTTCTGCCTCCTGCCCACGTCCACAGCGTGGATCGCCAGGCCCGCGCTCTCACTCCTCACGCCCTGCTCGGTGAACTGTATGCGTGCCTCACCTCTCTGATGATGCTCCAAGCTCCAGGAGTGTCAGGTGTCTGTCTGATTCATCGTGGCGTCTTCTAGAGCCCCTGCCAGAGGACAGATTGTTGAAATTTGACAAATGATGAACGAGTGACATCCTCAAGATCTGCTTGTCCTCTCCTCAGCACACATAGTTAGCACCAGTTTAGGATTTTGTATGGTGAATGAAAGAGAAACCCAAAGAACACGAAGGGAATGTAGAGAAAGATACAGCAGCAAATCAAACATCAACTTTAAAAGGAGACAGACTACTCGCTGCTGCATGCTTAATTCCGCTTTGAGCTCTAATCTCTTTCCCTCGAGCCCATGTATGGATAGAGTGGTCCACCGCCCCGAGGGCAACCAAGCAGCCAGGGAACAATCCCTTAAGCCTCAGGGTTTGCAAGGAAAGGACCGTGGAAATACATGGGCACAGCAAAGTCAATGAGGTACAATGAAGAGAGACTGCAAACGAAATCCAAACCCCATGGTTCAGCACTCGGGGCTCGCCATTGCTTCTCCGTGGGCACCTGCAAACTTTCTAGCAGTTCTCACTGTCTGGGGCCTGCTCTCCCCAATCAGCCTTGCGTGCACCTGCTGGAAGAATCATCTCAGATACCAAGTGTCTTGTGTCCCTTCTTTGTGCAACAACTTACAGTAGGCTCTTCTCATCCCTGTATCAAATAGTTCTCCAACCTAAACTTCAAGACATCATTCTCCCCTTGTGGGGGCCCTCTCCCCACCGCACTTGTAAATCCCCGCTCTGTATTTTTCTGTAGATTGTTTCTCAGACTGATAGCACCTGCCCCTCTCAACAACAACAGTAACTGCTGACATTTAGTGCACCTACTCTGGGCTGAGCACCTTGGATTATTTTTCTTAATCCTCCCATCAGCAGATAAGGAAACTGGGTCACAGAGGGGTTAAGTCCCTTGCCCACCTCAGCCATGGAGCTACTGAAGATGGAGCTGAGCTTGAAGCCAGGCAAGCCGAGCCCTAGGCCACCAGCTCCCCTCCTCCCTATCCACCGCCCCAACCTCAACATCCTGACCTAAGACTTCTTCCAAGAAATGCGTTCTGATGAACTGATGTCCAACTCTGACTCTATGACATGTTTACATGTTGCTGACCTTTGACATGGAGCTTTCTTTAGTCTCCCCCTTCTGGGCCCCCACAGTCAGCTCTCACTGAGTCTTGTTGTTTCACAGACTCGAAGGTCTATCCCTGAAGGGAAGGATGTTCTACCACCACCTCAGCACAGGCCCTGAGAGCCAGCGTCAGCGGCCCTCCCTCCCAGCCGGGAGCATGCCGGAAGTGGTTTCTGGGGACTAAGGTGGCCTCAGGGCCTGGAGGGGCCCGGGCTGTGGGGAATGGTGGCTGCCCCTCCTACACTACGTCAAAGCGGGGATGGGGCTGGTGCACTGGGCCAGGGGAAGGTGCACTTCATCTTGGGGATCAAAGTTGGGGACCGCCTGTCTGTGTTGCTCCAATTTGATCAGATAAGTAGACACAGGCGCAGCCCCCAGCCTCAGGGAAATGAGGCAACTGTCCGGAGGAGCCAGCCAGGGGCCCTGGGGCAGCGGTAGAGCGTGCTGGGGACTGAGTGAAGCAGGGAGGGTGTCTAACCAGCAAGCCTTGGGAAGGGGAATGTCTGCTCTTCCGATGTCCCTAGAATCCCAGGCATGCATGTCCTATGGTAAGGCTGATGTCAGCCCCTCAGGTGGCTGGTAGCGGGCCCCAGCTGGGGCTGGACAGCCCACCGAGGGCGTGCTCACCGGGTCTGCTGGGCCGGGCTGCACAGGGCAGTGAGGCCACGCCTGCGCCTCCCTCCCAGCCTTGTGCCCCTGCTTTTCACCTGGCCGCCCCACTTTCTTAGCCGTTAAAGAAAAAGAAGGAACTATTTCTTTTCCAAAATTCCCGATTGTAAAAAAAATAACACGAAATAACATGACAAGCTGGTGGGTCCCAGCTTGTCAAACACTCTGCTCTCCACCTGTAGAGCATGCTTCCCAGCGGACCATGTCATTTTGGCATTCATCTGCTCAGAGCTAAATCTCTGAGACCAAATCCAAACCTCTTATCTGGGAATTCAAGGCCTTACAGATTTGGACCCCTGGTCTCCAAAGCTACTTCATCACCTGATGCTGGAGCCCAGGTGCCCTCCTCTTGCTGAACTTCCTCATCATTTCTCAAGGCACGCACAGCAGTTGCTTCCACCTCTCTGATGTTAAGTGGAGCACTTCCTGTGTGCTCTCGGGCAAGTCTCTCAGTGTCTCTGTGCTTCCAGTTACCCGTGAAAATACTTTACAGGACGTTGTGAGAATTAGAGCGTTTATATACAACGTGCCAGCCACGTGGCGGGTTGTTCTGTGTGACCCGCGCTAGGACACTGAGAATCAATAAAGGCATCCCTCATTCTGTGCCCTTGTGCCCACCATCGTCTTCCTGACCACATGACTAGGAGAGCTTCTGCCTCCTCCAGGCCCATCTCCAGATGCACCTGCGCCTGCAGCCCTCCCCGCATACCTGGCCTGGAGCGAGGGGAGGGGAAGCAACACTTGCTAATTACCCACTGGGCCCCAGACCCTGTGGGTCAGGGAGAGCACTGACAATAGTAGCTAACACTTTCTGGGGGCCTTTCTGCCAGACCCCATCCCCAGCGCATCATGTGCATTGATTCACGCAAGCTTCTGAGTAACTCAATCTGTGGATCAGGGTTCGTAAGTGGTTTTCTGCTCTATCTAACCAGAATGGTTGGTTCTCCCAGACCCACCTCGACTCTCCCATCCCGTGATCCCCCCCAGAAGCAGATGGGGAGATTTTATCAAGGAGCGATGTTCCTGCAGGATAAAATGCTGAGGCCCTTGTATGGTGTTCAGGCTGATCATGTTGGAGAACATTTTGAGAAATGTTCACCTGCCCGGCCGCCCCGCCCACTGCACTCAAGGCTCAGTCTGGCTTTTGTGCGTCCACAGCCTGGAACACCCTCCTCCTGGCTGCCTGGAAAGCTGAAGCCTCTGACTAACCCCCCTGCCTTTGGGACAAAGGTCATTGTCCTTTTCTTCCTGCCCCCAAAGTGCCTCATCCATTCATTAATCAACCTTTCTGCAAATGCCTGCACCCTCCATGGGCCCTTCACCTGGCTGAGTGCCCAAAGGCAGGGCATGTGTCCTGCCCATCTCCACATTCCGGTCCTTGGCTCAGAGTCTGGTGCACGGGGACCTTGGTGTTTGGGGATGAACGGAGGGGGGAAAGGATGGGGTGGAATGGACATCGGGCAGAGAGAATGGTGGTGATACGCTTCCGGCTGGCTCCTCCTGGGCGGGGCAGCCACGAGGCCACAGAGGTGTAGACGGCCCCTCTGTGGAGAGCCCGGAGCCTCCCCTGGAAACAGCTCCGTGAGAGCCCGCCTGGCCCCGCTCCAGGCGCCGGGAGGTGCCAGTCTTGGGGATTCATCCACCTTCAGGAAATTGCTAAATGTATTTGGTGATTTTTTTTTTTTGACATTTTCCCTGTTTGGGAGCTTGTGATTTCAGATTAATCACATCTACATACATTTAGACTGTCAGCTTAAAAGGAAAGATCTAAATTTTATTACTGCATGATTTCATCCAAAGCTATTTTACCAGCCCCAAAAGGACATCTACAACACGGTGCAAATCATCACACAACATTTTACCTCTGGGACCAAGCATGCGGTGGTCGGGGGAGGCTGGGGGAGCCAGGAGCTGCAGGCGGGAGCTGGGTGGGCAGAGGTGCAGCACCTCCAGTCTCCTAAAGAGATCTCTGGGCGTCGCCACTGCTGCTTCCTGCACCTCAGCAAATGGCTTCATTTCCTTCCCTGTCCAGATTTGCCCCCAGCCTTTGCTCTTGGAAATGGCAGTTCCACAGACTAACTCCCCTCTTCCCCTTGGCAGGTACCATGACCAGCAGGATGTCACTAGTAATTTTCTGGGTGCCATGTGGCTCATCTCCATCACATTCCTTTCCATTGGTTACGGGGACATGGTGCCCCACACATACTGTGGGAAAGGCGTCTGTCTCCTCACTGGCATCATGGTGAGTACCTTCCTCTGCCCGCTGCCCCTCGCCACCCTCCGCGCGAGAGCCCTTACTTGTGAGCTCACAGGGGCCTTCCTGGTCAGGGTGCGGGAACAGCAGCCATTCAGGAGACCAGCATGCATTCTCTGTACACAGAGAGGCAGATGTGAAATCAGCAATGGTTTCTTACTTTTTCGTTTCCTTTTCCAAGGTAGGAACAGGCCCTCGTTCCTGACAATGAGTGGCCCCTTCACGGCCCGGCCCAAAATGGGCTGGGCCAAGCTGGCTGTGGGGGTGACCCTCCTCCACCCACCACCACCCTACTGCCTGGTGTGCTCGTCCCCAGGGAACATTCCGGCTTGTAGTCCTTCCTGTCGCCGGGCCCCACAGACCTTGGCGCCACATCTCCTAAACTTAGCTGGAACCCACGGAGGTGGGGACTGGGACAAGAGCCCTGACCTGTATTCTGGACTGGGTGGCCACTGGTTTGGTTCCATGGCTCTGGGCCAGCCTTTGGTGTTCACATCTGCATGCTGGGGTGCTGGGCTCCAAGTGCCAGGTCGTTCCCGGCTCTGACATCAACTAGACTGTGACTCCCTCCCCATCTTCCCCTGGCTGGTCTGCACCCTTTTGGGGTATATTTTTCCTGCCCATCGTTCTGCCACCTGACCCGACACACACTGTTGCCCGTCACATGGCTGTCATCCCCAGCACATCATGTGCATTCATGAGGGATGTACACATGTGTACACATGGTCACATGTGTGGGAGGGACCTGGGTGGGGGCTCAGAATTGGAGTCAGAATTCCCACTGCCGTCCTCACTGTAGACTCTGGGCAGTGCACTTAGCCTGCTGGACCTCCGCCTCATCGAGCATAAAGCAGGGGTGGAGAACCTGCCCGCCCTCCTCACTGGCTGGTGAGAAGGATGGATGGCAATGCTTCATGTTAACGTGCTTCTTCAACACCAGGAACTGCGCACACCATCAGGGTTGGCGGCATCCTCAGCATCCCTGACCTCCACCCGTCCTTCCCTGGCCAGGGGATGAGGCTCCTTGGCCTTCTTGAGCTTCAGGTCCAGGACAGGCAGCCACTGCTCTGTGCCCTCCTTCCTAGGATCCTAGATACAGGCTGCAGAGAGGAAAGCACCCATCGAAGCCTGGGCACCGTTGAGGTCATGGTGGGGGTGTGAGGGTGGACAGGATGTCTGTGGCTTGTCCTAGGTCTCCATGGGTGGTCAACACAGCCCACTCCAGGGGAGCCTTCTCTGTACCCCTATTATACTCTATCTGTGAAGACCCTTCCTTTCAGCGTCCCCTCAGATTTCATTCATTCTCCCAGGAGGAAGAAAGGCCCTCCTTTAGAAATGAGAAGGACTTTTTTTCTGCAGTAGGAAATGGATTAACTCCTCATCAGGGGTGAGAGCTGCCCCACTCCTGCCCTACCGCAGCCCGGTGGCCTCCTGGGACCGATCTCAGTGAGAAGGCAGCGGGGCTCAGAGAAGAGGCCTGTGTGCAGGAGGACGCAGTGCTGCCATTTCCCCACCAGCACACCGTCCTCTCCTTTTTCACCGAAGCCCAGGCAGGTGCACACTAGCAGGCAGGTCCTCCTGAGGGATTAACAGCAGATAATGACAAAAGGTTTAGCACCGGTGTTGGGATAAATAATGGGTGAGTGGAAGGCCTTGGAACAAACACCTCCCATTGGTTCGTAGGAGTCCGTCTGGCACAGCTCCAGTTGTCACCAGGAAACCAGGGAACGATTCTTTCTTCCAGAAAGGAATGAAATGCCGCCCATCTGAAGGCCAGAGCTTTCCTGCCTCAGAGCAGCTCCTGGGCTGCGGGCTTCGTGCCTCGAGCCCATGCTCAGCCAGGGCACACAGAGCAAGCGGGCAGGCGGTAGGGTGGGCGGCCACTAGGTGGACGAGCCCCGCTGGGAGCCTCTGTTATTTTTAAATATCAGCCATTCTCCCTCTCGGCAAGTAGCCGTGCCCCATCCAGGAAGTGGTCCCTGCCACCATTTTCCTGATGCCTCCCTCTGGCATCGTCCCCTGGCTTCTCTGACCAAGCTGAGTGGGGCAAGCAGGACGCCTTGGTCTGCTCCCAGCCTTCCCCTTGGAGTGTGGTCATCAGCACCCTTTTTGCTCCTGTTCTGTAGAAGCTCCTTGGAAGGGAGTGTTTGTTCCTTGATGAGAGAGTTGCAATCAAAGTGGGAAGAATAAATGGATGAGGAGGAACCGATACCTGCTCCCATATTAAAAATACAACACAACTTCCATCTTCTCCTTTTGCGTGAACCCTGTTGCCTAAACCTGTACCTCTCTATGCAGAAGAGCAGGGAAGCTTCCTCCATTCTTCTCAGTGTTTTTACCCAAATTAAAGCCAGTTGCCACCCTCTGGGGTCAGCCACAGTGAGGAATCCCGGTGGCATTTGTCTAGCAAATGTGATTTTTCTAGCTGAGTCACTCCTTTCGAGGGTTTTGGGTTGCTGCAAATCCTTTTATCCCCTCCCCCAGCTTCCCAGCACTGCATATATCTCCTGAATGTTATTGCAAGTGCCTTAACTAAAGGTACAGCTTCCTGTTTGGTTACCATGGACACCATGCAGGCCAAGACAAGGCCTGCTTGGGGAGGGAAAGGAAGGATCTGTGTGTGCGGGCTGTAAATACTCTTAATCATTGTTTTCTCTTGGCAATCCCAGTAACAGTGTAATTATCAACCATTAAACAGGGTATATAATTGTCTGAACAACTCGACATTGTTGGCACAGACCCGGTGTATGTGAGAGATTTCACCTGCGAAAGCAGATGTATCAAAGTCCGGTGTCTTTCCACAAAGAATTTTATGATGACAGTTACAACGCAGAGAGAAAGCTCTCGATACTTAGTCCAGAAGTGGAAATGACAATGAAACCTACAGAGATGCCTTTGGAGACTTTTTGGTTCTGCAGGCATATGGAAGACCTTTGGGACTCCCAAGACAGCTGGGTGGGAGCCCTGTTTCAAAAGAGCCGTTTTCTAAAGCCAGACTCACTCAGTGGACAAATTATGGACAAACAGACAAAAGCTTCCAGGTTGTCTGCTGGGGACACTGAGCTTTTCCCCAAGGCTTCCTGCGAGATGCTTCTTTGAACTGCAAAAGGAAAGTGATGATGAAGTAGAAGGTAGCACAGACTGAGTCACTTTTGGGAGGAGGGAAAAAGAGGGCTCAGCAAGAGATCTGCTTAATGTCAGTTTTAGAAGATGAGCTTCTCCCTAAAACACCTTGGTTTCAAACCAATTGATGTTATTTTAGTTGTTACATGGAATCTGTTGCAGGAACAGAATCCAACTGTAAATCCTCCAGGCTTTCCTCCTCCATTTGTCACTTTCATTTATGTTTTATTTTATTTTATGCTCCTTTAGTTAGGAACACCTCATACTTTTCCCCTTGGGGTACTTGTTTTTCCAGAGTCTAAGGTTTCCCAGCTGGAAAATGTGTTTTGGAAATGAGAAGTGGAAGGAGCAGTGTGGAGGAGCCTGGGTGTCTGATTCGGGTCCAGATCCGCGGATGAGTTAGGCACGTGCCCCGTGGCAGCCACCCTCTCGCTGCTCGCCCCTGTGCTCCTGCTCACCGTGTACCTTGGACAGTGTGGGCTCCTCCTCCTGCCGCCCTCCTGTGGAAGCAGGGCTTGGACAGAGAGGACCCCGGGAACCCAGTGGGTGGCGACCGGGGTTCAGGGCTCGGTGCACCGGCAGGCAGGAGTCTGAGCCACGGATCAGCTCCGCAGCCTCACGCCACGGAAGTCATGCCGGCAGCTGCTGTCCCCCTGGCGCCCAGTCCCTCCTCTCCTCACACGCCCTCCTTGCCCACCAGCCACTTCTGAGATTCCATGCTAGGACAGTGTATGTTCTCACACCCCAAGATCAGCCAAGTCCTTGGCAATTTGTCTCTTAAAGCCAACCTGTATCACTGCCACATCCCACAAGTTTTCCCAGGCTGCGACCGTGGGCACATCAGACTATAAACGGTAAAGTAAAAAGGCTCATGATCCCAAAAGGAACACAGGTGGTCATTATATCATTTAGAGGTGAACACAACAGGAGGGAGGGGGATCCCATAACACTTCCTTTATTCCCTCTCAAGAGCCAAAGTTGACCATTAACTTTTTGACTTAGCTCTTGTTCTTCCTGCGTTCCTCTCTCAATTCCATTGGCCCATATTTTTTTCTTATGCCTTGTCTTCTTCCTTTCCTCTTTCCCTGTTCTGTCCCATGCTGTTTAGGATGGAGCACAACATTCCCTGTCTCAGTCTCCACTCCAGCTCTCTCTCTCTCTCTCTGCAGCCTCTCTCTTCCCTTCTGCACCCCTTCCTTTCCTTCTCCCTCTCCTCCTTCTCTTTCTCTCTCTGTCTCTCTCTCTATCTCTCTCTCTCCCCCCTCCCCCGCTCTTTCTGGAGCAGACCACAGTCTAGATTTCGGAACCCTGCCCACCACTTTCTGAAGGTTGCGAGATCTGACCCCATCTTTATAAGATTGCTTCTTACTGGAAATGACCAAGTTAGGCTTATTTATTAGCAACTTCCCTAATTACATCCGCATGATGGATTCTCTAAAAGAAAAATAAAGTTGGGGATATCCATGGATTTCTATTCAAGTCAGAATTAGGGGGTTAAGGGCTCAGCATCCTCCAGAGAGCCTTGACATCTTTAAGTAGAAAGAAACTGGGAAACGTCATCTAGTCCACCCGCCAGCCTCCATGCAGAAACTAACCCTAATCATAGAAAATAGATGGTTCCTTTGTTAAAACACTCTAGCTTCTACTTGGAAGCCTTGCGTTCAAGCCGCTAGAGGGTGAGCTGTGGGGAGACCATGAAGCACTCTACCCTGGCCCTGGAAATTCGGGAAGGTGGATAAGAGGTTGTTTGATGAAATTCCCCGAGTAGTATGATGAGCAGGGCAACTCCCTCTTCAAGCTTATCCTGCCCCCAGCTTTCAGGGGTGGTGTAAGTAGGGTTTTGCCTGGACCCAAGGAGGGGAGGGAGCATGGAGCCTCGGGAGAACTCTCTCTCTCTGATGTTCCATTTTTACTGCTGTGATACATCCCTCTTCTTGGTCTTTCAGCCCAAAGTACCTTTGGAACTCCATATAAAGGAGAGTGATTATACTTGATCTGGTTGAGCGGAATTGAGCACACATCTGCCCTTTAGGACAGCTTCTTTAAAGCTATTTTTTGCTTTTGGAGGCCTGGCTAAATTGATTATAGCTACAGACCAGGCTGTCCAGCTACCCATACACATCCTTTGAAAATTGGGCACAGAGTCTCCTGCAAGTCACAGATGGCAAGAAAACACGGCCATCCCTGAACAAGCAAGGAAAATGAGGTCAGAAAAGGGAGATTCATGGAGACTCAGTTCCTTTCAGTTTGTTGTGTTACAAATGGTCAGCCCATCGCCAGCTGACCAAATGGCCAAATGTACCAAGAAACATGAGATTATTTGAATGAGAACCCTTGTGAAAGCCAGCTTCAGCCACGCCAAAACCTTACACAGACTAGCCTTTGCCAACCTGTGGAAAAGGAAAGAAAGGGATTATAAAGGAGGCAGTAGGGCACCGATCTGCCCAGCTTGCATTCCTCCCAACTCTGGCACAGATAATGTACCTTTGACGCCACTCTTTACCATTTCTAACACATTCCTTTAGACCTGATGAGCCAAAAATGTTTTGATTGAGTCCCCTTCAATCCTGGAACCTCAACTGCTAAACTAGGCTCTGTGGCCACTCTAATTTCTGCTGCAGCTGAGGATTAGACTGCTGACATTGCTGAGCTTACGGCCCCTCCTTGGGTGGAGGGCAGGAAGGTCCAGGGCCCAGGGGAAAGGAGGAGGGTGACGGCCCAGAGGAGAGTGTGCTCTCATTCAAGAACCAGCGCGGGCAAGGCTGACTTCGCTGCCAGGAAGAATCGGGGAGGAGTGGCTCTCTCTCCCCCCACCCAGTGCTTGCAGCCGGTGAAGGAGCACAGTGGAGGGGACTTGAAAATCCATTAGGAGAGGGTTGGAATGAACCACTTTCCCTTTTCTGCTCATTTCCCGGACAGTCAAATGTGAGCTCAGACGGTTAGAAGAGAGAACACAAACACGGGTCCTGGGAAACCTGCTTCTTTTCCTCCCCCTCCCTTGAGCCCCTCTGGAATGGACCTGCCCAGGCAGAATAGGAACGCTGCTCTGGAAAATACTGAGGCCCCCTATGGGTCCTCTTAAAATCCTGGTTTGAGGCGAAATTGTTGCCATCTTTAAAATCTCTGCATGCTGGTGAATTCATGAGCCTCCCGGTGAAAGCCAGAAACAGTCATTTCCCTGTGCTGAGTCATAGCCTAGATCTTCAGGTAAAAAGACTCAGCTGAGGAGCAAGCGGAGCAGAGAGAGCAGACCTAGGCTGACCGGTGCTCCCCTGGCAAGCAACCTGGGGGAACGCGTCACCTCTTTATTAGATTATTTTCAGGAAAACTCTTCCCCACCAGCAGGTGTTCCAGCCACTGCTCCATTGTATTTGAGGCCTTCTTTCCTCCGGGGCCCCTGGTCTGAAACTGGCAGCGGGGTGGAGACCCGCCTGAGGGAGAGAGGGCCTGTGTGCGCGCCAAGCCCTCTGCAGTCCCTGCGCAGCCTGGCAGGTGACCAGTTGATTGTTCGTTGTTTTAAATTCCCCAAAGCTTCAGCCACATTCTGTGTCCTGCTTCATTAAGAACTGGCAAGTCCTGTGAAGACACAGTCTCCCAGAAGTCAGCTCTGCAGCTAAGCCTAAAGCACCGCAGGCCCCTCCGTGGGTGCGGGAGGCGGGGCCCAGACACGTTCTGTGGTTTTGACCGGCCAGAGAGCTCAAGGTCCCGCTGCGCTCCCGGAGTCCTCACAGTGGTCCCGGGGCACGTCGAGTCTTCCCTCTGAACCTTCCCTCTGAATGATGTGCTCTCCCCCATCTCCTCGCTGTCTTCCCACAGGGCGCGGGCTGCACCGCCCTCGTGGTGGCTGTGGTGGCCCGGAAGCTGGAACTCACCAAAGCGGAGAAGCACGTTCACAACTTCATGATGGACACTCAGCTCACGAAACGGGTAAAGTACCACTGTCCACATCTTAATGCGGGACTTCAGACCAACATGGGAGCCAATCAGAAAGCAAGTCGTCCCCTGGTGTAAGGGAGGGACACATCTTGCAGGGGAGGGTCGAGGGAGCCCCGGACACCGCTAACAGCCTCCACAAAAGGGGCGCAGGCCTCAACACTCCAGGTCCTGTCTTCTATTAAGTGTCTGTGCACAGTTCAGGCAACCGAGTCATTCATCTGAAAGTTAAATCTCAAGCATACAGTGGCATGATCCGCCCCCTTGCCTAATAGTAATTGAATAAATCACCCCGTGTGAAGCAATGGTTTTGTTTATGCTCAAATATTTTCATGATTCTCATTAGGAAGGGCAGTGGAGTCTTAAAAATGATACTAGAAATGTATCTAAATCCAGTCCTTTAAAAAATTATTAAAGACAATCATTGCTGTAGAGCCCACGTTCCCAAATAACATTATCTGCCAACTTTCCCTTTTGGGTTTTCCAGTTAATGTTTCTCATGTGAGCTCTTAATGAAAGTGGTTAAGAAGGATGCAAACTGAAAATATGCAGGAATAGGGAGAGCGTTTAGCTGTGGAGAGTCTGACACCCCACTGAACTGTCAGGGAAGGAAGGCCCGTTTAGGAGAGCCAGAAACAAGTAGGCCGGAGCTGTTCATTTCGTGGCTGCTCTTACGGAGCATTCTTTGAGAGCTGCAGGCTGAATGAAGGTCATAATAGGGTTTCCTGTAAAAATCTCCTCTTTCTGAGGTGAGCAAGAATCCAAACCCTGTGCTGGGGTCTTGGCCACCCTAGCAAGTGCTTCTCGTTTAGGACTTAAGTGGGCAGAAGACCCAAAAGCGACTACATTTTGATTTGGGTTTTTGAAAGCGAGAGAACATATTCAGAGAGCAGAGTTGCAGTGCTGTAAAAAATGTGTTAGAAATCAAGACAAAGGCAGGAAGGGAGAACAAAAAGAGAGAGGAGAATGGCAGAGGGCGAGCGAGCTCCCGGAGAAGGCAGGGGAGAGCGCGCCGTTGCCAAGGCCTCTCCAGTTCCTCAGCAGAATTGTTTATGATGTGTGATTGTTTGCTCTTTGACTGCCTGTACTGGATTCTCTAAAGAGCCTCCGCAGGTATTAAAAGGAGAGGGTGCAGGCAAATATTCTCATGTTGTTGACCTACAGATGATGACACAGCAGGTCCTCGAATAACGACGTTTTGTTAAAACACCAACACGATACAGTAGGAACCTAATTCTGGCTTGTGTTAGCCAATGGGAAAATTGGTTTCATTATATGTCTTTTCGTCCCAATTCCAAGAATCTGTTGCCAATGTTAAGTGAAGACTCATGGTATATGGTCCATGGCTACCCGAGCTGTCCATTGGACAAAAGAAAGCAACCTGTAGCACCAAGATGGCAGAATTGGGTCGGCCAGCAGGGTGTCCCCCACACCCCGGGAACCCCGCTGCTCTCCTGCAGGCCCGCAATGCACACGCAGAAGTTACTCCTGACATTGAGCAAATCACAAAACTGATTGGAACACCAAAATGCCGATATGCTTGCATCTATTCTGCTGAAATGATTGAGTGCAGGAGTGAAGGGCAAAAGAGCTTTGCCTCCAAAGCCGTTTCAGAAGCTGTTTCCTTAGAGCAGAGGCATTAACAGTCTTCTCTGTTCCGATTTGCTTTTTGAAACCAAGGATGTACTTGTATTTCATGTTATTCCTTTGTCCTCTCCATTTTTCACTCTGTAAATCAGACTCTAGAGGAAAATAAAGCCAAGGAAAGCCAGCTCCCTCATATGACAGGAAAATAAACAATTTTTCTGCAACACAATTGCAAAGGAGATGAGATTGTGGTTACTAATTTCAGTCTTTCAGAAGTAATTCTCTAAAACCCTCCTCAACTCAGTCCACTTAACTCCTTGAAAAGTAAAACTGAAAATCAAATCAACAAATATTTATTGCTCATTCATGAGTGCAAGGCACCCTTTAAATCAAATAACATCTCACTTTTCTGAGAACACTTAAATCTGTTGAAATGTCCCTGTAATGCCTACGGTCTTTTCCAAGAGAACCAAACAACAGGAAAGGGATGGTTCTGGCAAAGAGGATTTTCAAAGCTGGTGGGATTAGGACTCCCAAAGGCTCTGTGGCATCATCTTGACTGAAGGGAACTAGCTGCAGACTTGGCCTTCTCAGAGAAACCCACCTTTCTTCCCCTGGGGATGCCTTGTGTACCCTCTGTCCTCTCCGAATGACCCAGTGTGTCCAGCGGAGTGGCTCCTGGGTCGCAGCAATGCTAGGCTCAGTCTAATCGTAAGATCTCAGAAAAAGACACAGTCGTGGGAGGAGCTGGTTGCCGTGTGTTCCCAGACCTCTCAGTAGCGGGCAATTCAACTTCACAGCTAAAAGCAACCTCTTGCAAGTATATGCAAACTTCATCCTTCAAACACCTAAGCAAAAAACAAAAAGAGGAACTGAAACCTATTCATTGTGAAAACATTCAGATTGCCCTAGTATTAATCGTCCCATCTGCCTAGCTGCAAGGGCTGCAGCCCAGCCCTCACCTACCGGGAGCGCCACACGATTGTGTATTTATGGGTGGGGGAGGGGTGCCTTGTGGCCCAGGGCGAGAACTCAGTTCCTGGTTTGCTTGAATCCCATTGCTCTTCTTTTTTCACTTGCATAACTTGTCAGCCCTGATGACAACATCATGTCTGTGTGTAATGCCATCAGATTTTCTCACGCTGACTTTGCAGTTTTACTGCCATTGTTAGTCTATAATTATAATTTATTGCTAACCTCTAGGCCATTAGATAATATGTATACAAATGACACACAGAGAGACTAAAAAAGATGTCAGTTCCTCATCTTTTCTCCCACTTGAAGCTGTATGTCCCCATCTCTCTGTTTTGTGTAACTAAACACAGGTATTACAGGGTCACACACTCTGGGGACATCAAGGTGTGTAAGAGATGGTTCCTGCCCTCATCCTTACTGCCCGCCCTTGGAAAGCACCTCTCCTTTCTAAAGGCAGATGGGCTACCCAGGGACGCCCGGGCCTTAAGAGGCACCATGGACAGGAGACGTTCCGTTTGCCATGCCTACCCTCCACGTCCGACCTCCAGACAGCACCCTGGTGTGCACCACTGGCTGAGGACTGTGTCTCTTTATCCTTGCCACAAGGGGTTCTTGCTCCAAATACTTCATCCAAGTACATTTTCCCATGAAATCAATGAGTAAGACCAAAACCCAACCCATATCTTCCCTAAATTAGTTCCTCCTCCTGACCTCCCTAGTCCGCTAATGACATCAGTGTGTTCTCCTTGCCTGAAGACTTAGCGCCGTCTGGACCCACAGGGGCACCGGCAGTGCGTGAGCCTGATTCGACCTTGCCGAGCCCGTGGCTGTTCGCGCATGCAGGGCCCCCGCCCCTCCACACCTGAAGCCGCTGTCATTTCGGTCGTACACCATCACAGCTGCTCGCTGCCTTTTGTGCTCATGGGCCTCCCTTACCCCAGTCCCCTCCCTCGATGTCCTTAGACGCTGAGGCTGACTTCTGAACATATCAGCACCCTCTTCAGAAGCCTTTAGTGCCCACTCCGTACCTACTGAATAGTGCTAAAGAAAACTTTAATTATGAGCACATGTCAAAGTTGTATTACAGTCCTGCTGGAAAAAGCAGAAAATTTTTTCCAGCAGACTAACTCAAAGATTTATTCATAGTAGGATATTTTTTAGGAAAAGACAAGTAGTCATTGTTATACCAGGTGCAGAAAGCCTGGCTAAGGGATACTAGATTCAAGACTGACAACTGGTTGGTCCCAAGAGTGGATTCCCAGAATAGGTCTTAATCTCTTTAAAATTTATCAGATAATCGGTTGAGCAGAAATCTGGAATGGTAATTCTCCTCAGAAGGGGAATGTAAATTCTATTACCGATAAAGGTTTTGTCCCACACGAGTTGGGACAGTAGTCATAGAAACTGAGCTTTTGAGCTGAGGGGATCCTTAGGGCTGTGACTCCCGGGCGCCGGGCTGAGTGAGGGCACAGCTAGCCAGGCCCCAGCCGGGGCTGCAGTTGGTTCTCAGGCCTGCAGGCAGCTCTCCAGCCATCACCCAACGGATTTTCGAGAGCAGTCAGTTCCTTGAACCTCAGCACGGTGGTCAGGGTCCTACGTCTGCCTGCTGGAGAGAAAAGCCAGTTTACCTCAGCCTCACTCAGCATGATGTGAATATCATTATAGAATTAACCACCATTCATTACCATGCTGCTACGGGGAAAGAGCTTCAAACTCCAACTTTGAACCATAGAAATTCATCTCTTCTTGCCCTCTGCCCCAATTTCCTGCTGGACACAGGGGTGGAGCCCTCAGTTCAGGGCCAGCTACTGGGTGAGTTGAGCAGAGAAGCCTGGGAAGAGAGTATGGAATCGGATGGGGAAGGACGGGGAGAGGGTGTAAGTAAGGAGATGGAAGGGACGGCAGCTGTAGGAAGTCTGCGTGGCTGAGGGGGTGCGGGGAGGGGCTGGCAAAGAGGGAAGATGGTCTGCCTCGCTCCCCAGCTATGTGCCCAGTGGACACCTTCGGTCGAGTGTCTGAAGACAGAGCTGGTGTTAGGTTCTCAGATTAAGATGCTCACAAGCTCTCAGTTAATCTAAATGCAACCTGTGTAACTCCTTCAAGTTAAGTCGCACTTACAGTCTCACCTTCCCTCCTCCTTCCCCCTTCTCCAACCTCCCCATGAACACCCTTTCCCTGGGTAGGATTCCTGGCAGAATAGTGGGCATACTGACAATGTCTTCCAGTGGGGCTCCTGGGGTTATTCCCCTAGGTCTCCTTGTGGCTTCTGGAGACATGGGGAGTCCAACAAGGGTGCCTCTCTCATCCTGTCCCATGTTCCTCCTACAGCTATCAGTCCCTTTGCAATACCGCGTGGCCGGTTACCCTGGCAGAGAGGGGGCCAGAGCAAGCCACTGATGTGGGTGGGACGGCCAAGAACTCAAGGAACAGACATATATGTTCTGTGTCATGTTCTCTTTTGTTAGCAGGGAGGGAAGAGAAAGAAGCTCACATTTTTTTGGTGTGGGGGGGGGAGAATATTAACGAAGGTATCATGATTGAAAAGCACTGTGGCTAGATTCTACTGTGTTTGAAGTGTATTCTCATTTAATCAACACTACAATCCCATTTTACGGACTTGTAGCACTTGCAACATCTCTAGATACCTTCCTGCTGTGTTTTTCTCTTGAAGCACTTATTACTGATACTATATTATAAACTGCATGCTGTCTCCACAAGATTATAAACTCCGCAAGGGTTTGAATGATATCGGTTTGTACATCTTGGTATTCTCACTTCCTAGAACAGTGTCTGCCCCATGGTAGGGGCTCGGGAAAAGTTTTTGAAGGAGTGAATAAGAAAATTGAGTCTCAGAGAGGTTTAGTAACAGGTCCGAGGAGGAGATAATAATTGCATCCACTTGTGAGGTTTTTCTGAGGGCTAATAAAAAACACAGTAAACACAAAGTGTTTAGCAGAGCCTGGCACACAGTAAGTGCTCAGTAAATGTTAGCTATCACTATTATTTGCAAGATCTTATTTGGAAGACTTCCTTACTCAGTCCCATTAATCTTAGAGCCCTTCCTAAAGTATGTAGGTCACTGAGCCCATTCTCTGGCTTTCATCAGAATGAAAGCATACCATTTATTTATTTATTTATTTATTTTTTTGGTAGAGAACATATGGAGAGGAAACAATCAGCCCTTGAGCTTATGGGTTTGGTGAACAGAACGACTAGCTTCCATTCACAAAGGCCCTCCTCTAACCACCTCTGAACCCATCTGATGGTGGCCAGCCTCACTCAGGTTTTCCCAGTGCCCTGACCCGTCCCACCCCAAGGAGCACCTTTGGGGCCTGTTGCCCCCATCCACCAGGAAAGCGCAGAGGGTCCCCAAGCTCCCATTCAGGGCTCAGCAAATCCCAGGGGAGGCACACGACCTCAGCTGCTCACCATCCTAATGATGCTCATCAGCCAGGTAAATTGACAGAGACCCTGGTTGCAGTAACAGTTACTGTCAACCTGGGAAAGCACAGTGCAGTTAAAAGCCTATTTCTTTTTCTCTAGCAGATATTGATCTACTTAGCTTTGTGCCAGGCTGTTTGCTGGCAATTAATTTCAGAGTCAGTACCAAGGCTTGCATTTAACATCACTTTCCTGAATACACAGGGGCCTCCTGTTCAAACCGATAAAGGTAATGTGACTGCCTCGATCAGCCGCCCAGGCTGTGCTGTGATTTCAGTAACTCACATTTGGGCTGAAGTTAAGTGTAGGACATAGACACCCTGTTCTGTCATATTGCTAAGTGAAGCCCAGGATGACTTAAAAAGTTTCTAATGTCCTTTCCAATTCCTTGATCCTGGAAAACAGGAAATAATTTTGTTTGTGTAGAGATGAAATATAGCCAGGCCTTTCTTCAGACCACATGAAAACCTTATGCTCTCCTTGGACCCAGTCCTGTTTTGACCTTGCCGTTAGCCGGCCGTGTGATTCTGGCCTTCACATCCTGTCTCGGAAGCTGTTTTCTTTTAAATAGGGGTTTCGGCTCGATGATTGTAACTAATAGCAGTATGTTTACAGTTTATGGAACTCTTAAATCCATGTTGACTCAGTTTGTCATTTAGAACTTTATGGTCTTGGTCTGTGTCTCAGTTTCTTCATCTGTAAAACGAGCACAATAGGGTGCCTGCCCGATGGGGCCGTGCAGGTTACCTGCGTTCCACACGGCAGGTTCTCAGACCCGTGCCCGGTAATGTTAGCTGTTGGCGTCGCCATCGGCACCATTATCACGGCCTCATTTGGGCCTCATAACAACCCTTAACGTAAGGATTTATTTTTCCCAGCTCACAGATAATTAAGCATTTACTCCTCAACTGCTCAATAACTGCTGGAATAGGAATTCACTTGCAGGCTTTTCAATTGCAAACGCTGGTCCCACACCAACACAGAGACAATTGTCAAAGGCCCGTCAGCGCTGGTCCTCCTTACCTCTATCCAGGACTCCGGGAGCCGGGCCCTGCTGGTCACCGGATATGCCGGGGCAGGGTTTTCCCTGCTGTTTCTCGGCTAGGCTTTCCTTGGAGCCTAAGCACCCAGGGAGACTGAAGCGATAACGTGTCAGGTTGCCTTCTCCCTGAAAAAGACGGCAGGAGTGCACGCTGCGCAGAGAAGGGGTTCCCTTCTGTGAGGCCTGGCCGCCGTCCACTCCAGGCCCTGGACAGAACCCCAGAGGCTACCCCCTCCTCTGCCGCCCCCTCCTCACCTGGGTACTTGCTATTTCTAGCTTATACTCATCACTACCTGCTTCCTTTTGAGCAAGAAATTAACAGAGGTGGGCAATTAAGTCATTAGAACCATTTTCACAGTGGATTTTTACTGAACAAAAAAAGCAATATATTTATGTCACTTAGACATATCTGAGAAGACTTAGCTGTTCTTTTAAAAACATCACTTCTGCGCCAGTGAGAAATGTCATCCAGCCTTAGTAATAAATTTTTAAAACATACACACACACAAGTTATCAGTCTGCAAAACAATGTTTCCTAGGCCTTCCCACATGTCTCAGTATTTTAATGACATCCCATCTGTTGGTGTCAGTCTGAAGAAGCAGGCCTGTACTCTCCAGTTTTATTAAAAATCCTTTCTGGCCAGTAGCTGGATTTCTACTAGGCTGGCCTACTTACCCCAGGCCCCGGGCCCGTGGACCTGCGCCAACATGCATGGCTGACAGAGATGGGAATGGTTAACCAAAAATCTGTTGAGCTTGTGCTTAATAAGAAATGTTTCCTTTTGCTCTTGTTACTAATTGCTGAAGATGTCTGTGTTTGGACTAAAACTTTGTCCCCAGCCATCTGGATGCCACTGTGTCTCAGCTCAGTCTCAGGCCGGGTAATATCAGTGGTTTCCATGTCAACAGATGACAGCGTCCTATGTCGAGACGTGTGATTGCAGCGCACAGTGAAGGAGCCAGCCTTGGGAGAGAGGCAGCTCTGTTTTCACACCTAAATATCTTCACTGATTTTCTGATACTGATTTAAATTATTTCAATTTAATGCCATTTACAGTTCCATGTAAAATTGCAGTGTAAATGTTTTTTTGCCATTTGGGAAAAGAAACAACAGTCTTGTTAATGCCTATAGTTCCCTTTGGTGGGGAAGACTTTCCTTCAAAAAGGGCTGGAAAGACCTCCAGCTGATAGGAAATCTGTTTACTCTCTAAATGCAAGAAAGTACCATGTGCATTAAGTGAAAGTCGCAGGTTGAGCTGGAACTCTGTGTGCAAGGGCAGCAATGGTATAGATTTCTCTATTCAATGGGCGCCCTGGGCCCCCAGGTCTTCTTAATGCAGCTTGTCTAAATATAGCACCACCAACAGCGGTCGAAAGGCAGTCCTGAAATAATTAAAAAGGAGCAGGAAACACCCCTGAACTTCAGGCTCCAGTGTACTGCAACTAACATGGGATTAGTAGGAGATGAATTTTAATTATCCATTCTGAGTTCATGATTTGATTAAGGAATTAGATCACTGCAGAATTGTTTCCTTATAAAGTAGACTATATCAGCAAACAGAAAAACACGTGAAACTAGGAAAATTAACCTTATAGCACCCCGCTTTATATACTTTTCCTTAGATCAAGAATGCTGCAGCCAATGTCCTTCGGGAAACGTGGCTAATCTATAAACACACAAAGCTCCTGAAGAAGATTGACCATGCCAAAGTCAGGAAACACCAGAGGAAGTTCCTCCAAGCTATCCACCAGTGAGTATTCGGGGAAGCTGGGCCATCGGAGGGCCAGACGAGGGGGGGTGGGACCCCACAAGTATCTCCTTGCACACTTAGAGGCACAGGAGAAATCCATTCTCTTGCACTCAGTAAGCACTGGGGGCAGTGAACAGGACCCAGAGCAGTCTGTTTACTCCTCCGGTGCATCTGCCCCTGCCAGACGTTGGCCAGGCTGCTATGGAAGGTAAAACCCGGAGTGAGAGCCCCTGAGGCTCGCACAGTTCACACACACACACACACACACACACACACACACACACACACGCTCTCACACGCTCTCACACGCTCTCACACACGCTCTCACACATTTACATATACTACAATTCAGAGTGCTTTCTCTAGGATATTTAATTTAAAAGTATAGTGATAAGGTACAGGAAGAAAACAGTTACTCTGGCCTGGAGGTTTTGGGGAAACCCTAAAAGGCCAAGGATGGCATTCAAGGTGGAGCGCACAGCTTAGACAGAGGCATAGAAGCCAGAAGATGATCTGGGAGGAAACCAAAGTGACCGAAGGCAAGCATGCGCAGAGACAAGGATCCGCTTCCTGGGGGACCCGACAAGCACTTGGTTCTGGTCAGTTGACACCCATGTTCGAGGTCCCCATGCAGGATTCCAAAACCACATGAACTGATGTGAATGTGGAATCTGCTTCTGGGACTAAACCTAACACTCACCGTGGCTGTTACCACTCTTTCTCACAGACTGAGGAGTGTCAAGATGGAGCAGAGGAAGCTGAGCGACCAAGCCAACACCCTGGTGGACCTTTCCAAGGTGAGTGGCTAGGTCCGAAGACGTGCTAAAGAGTTCTCAGGTGCTGGCATTTAGACTTCTCAGGTGTGGCTCCAAACTGCACAGTGCAGGACAGGGAAAGCAAAGAACAATTCCTCCTCGGTTCGAGTTCTTAACATTTGCAACCTACTAGTGTGTCTTGTCTTTTAAAACCTGGCATTTGTTTCTAAAGTTCAATGGTTCAGGTGTGTCATTGCTTGGAATTGATTAGCTGACCTCCTAAATCTTTTCAGCATGTTGCTTTGTTAGCGGAACACTGAGGGTTCCGAGTCTGCACGGGGCGAAGCACACTGATGAGAACTGGCTGGTGACAATGGCTGTGATGCTGCCAAGGTCGCGCTTGGGAAAGTGCTTCCAGTTTGCGGTTATAATTGGACATTCATTCTCTTGCATCCTTCAGTCTTTACAACCCAGCTGTTAAGGCCCCAAACTGGTGGTGGGGTGCATTTCTTTACTTCTTGAAAGGCAAATAGTCTATGTTGAGTATAAAGATGCCAAAAATGAGAGGCCTCCTTTGAGAGCCCCAGGGCTGGATATCACACTGTCATTCTGCGTTTCTGGCACTGAACTGCTGTAAATACTGTAAAGAAACTTGTTCCTCTTTGCAAATCACTGAAGTGAAGGAACCTAAGGCTGCCCTGCTGCTGGAGCTGAGTGTAGGAGCCGTTGAAGCGAGGCCTCCCACCCCTGCCCCTTCTCCTCGTTGACTCTACATAGAAATTGTATATCAAGTGTAGGGCCCAGGGTCAGGCTAGCAGAACATTCCAGCAGATGCCAATTATCACAATGGCACATGGTCCCTGGGTAAGCAAGAGAAACTCCTTTAGGCAAATTAAACATCCTTTGAAAAGAGGGTGCAATCAGAGAAATTGCTGGTTACTGGGCCACGTGCAGACACCTCGTTTAGTGAAGGGATGAAGCAAGAGAAAGGGCCTCCCAAGCCCCAGGGGCGTGGGGGACTCCTATCAGAGGATGCGTGGCTTGTACAGGGCAGAAACCACGGGCCTGTGCGCCTTTGGAGGGGCTCCTGAGAACCTGGAGGAGGGAGCTTGCAACAGGAAGGAGGGAGCCCCCTGGGGTCTTGGGGGTGTGCTGTTTCAGAAACTCACTGGGACTCAGTTTAAAAATGGAGGCATTCATTTTAAGGATACAATGAAGTCTCATTCCAGGCAGAACCTCAAAGCAGGCATGTGGTCAGACTTCAGGAAGGAACTAACTAGAACCAGACCTGGGGAAGCCCTTGCAGCCGGAAATACCGTCTCACCCTCTCTTCTCTCTCCTTCTGTTCAAGTACCTGCTTCAGTTCTTTCTCTTTCTCTTACCCTCCCCTCGCTCCTGACAGCTTTCTATGCCTCCTGCCTCCACAGCAGACCACGGCAGGCCCCCGTCCGGAGAGTAAGTGGTCTGGTGCTAGCCACAGGCAAAGACAACGGGCTGCCTATTTCTCTTCATTCTAAAATCTCAGGAGAGGTGTGATGGCTGGCCAGTTTGAGTCATGTGTCCACCGTAGGGCCAATCAGCTGTGGCCAGGAAGAGGGTCATATAGGGCTAACATGGCCAGCGGCTCACCCTGTGAGATCCAGCAATGGCCCAACAACTTGCCCCAAGATATTTCTTCTGGAAGTACCGATGTTTCCTGTCTCACCTCCCACCTGGCAGGAAGTTCTCCCGGGACTATCAGGCAAACCAAACCTCCCAGCCTGCCTTTCTTCAGTGCCACCCACAGCTCCTCACAGAGGTGGGGCGCAGCACAGAGCAGACTGGGTGAAGCAAAAACTGCACTGAGTTGGAAAGAGGCTCATGTGAATGGGGCTGGGGAAGCAAACCTCAATAAGCTGGGAGCGAGTGACCTGGAAAGAAAGCGCATAGGCTTTTAGCGCGGCTGCAGGGCAGCTACGGCTGAGACCTGGAGAGAAGGGGAACTCTGCCATCCATGCAGGCTTCGTCGTCTTTTCCTCTCGGGGACTCACCAAGGTCCCAGCAGCAGCTTCCGTATTTCCCATTGATCCTCCTGTCACCAAGCAGCGGAACTGGGCCGGTGAGGGGGGCAGGGTCCGATGATGCCGAGTCCTCTCTTTTTCTATGCTCCGCCCTCCCTCCCAGCCCACCACCTCCCTGGCCCTGCCCTTTGGTCCCCTTTAGAAGAAGAAAACATCACGTGGCCTCGAAGTATTAGTTGCTGTATTGAATACATGGTGGCAGGGCTGGGAGCTCTTGGGCTCTTTATTTGCGAACTTCAATTTCCTCAACTGAAATGTAAAAACAATTCCTAACATATGAGGCTCAAGTGATCAAATGAGATGGTATCTGTGAAAATGCCTTGTAAACTATAAAGGGTTTGCAAATGGTAGTTCTATTTATGAATATAGATGAGGAAACCAAGATCCCAGGGAACAAAATGATTGTCCCAAGGCCAAGCCGGGGCAAACACGGCGCTGGGGCCGAGCCCCGGGGGCCCGGACTCAGTGCTGCGGGCCTCAGGGGGTGCCTGCGGTCGGGCACACTGGCAGTTTTGTACCATTCCGGGAAGAATGGGCACCTCGAGGCAGTTCTTGAATGTTAGTTAATGAAAGAAGCACCTTTACTCCCAAAGCCACCCTCTCCTCTGAGGGTGTCCACGAGAGCGTCCCGCTCCCCGAGGGCAGCCCTGCCTTCATTCCACCCCTGAGATGGCTCCTTCTGGGCCCCAGGCAGCTCCTTGTGGGCATGTCGTCAGCGGGGAAGGGGCTGCTGCATCTTCATCCCACCTTCCCCATCTTCTCTCTGGTTTCTCACATCTGCCACCTTCCTTTACTCCACTTTTTTCTCTCTCACCTTATTTCCTATTCCCTGGGCCCCTGAAACCACCAATATTTCTGCCTCTTTTGGAATAATTTGAAACTTCAGCTGAAATAGGATCAGGTTGTCACTGGCAGAAGCCACAAGAGCCAGAGTACCTAGTTGGGGGGGCGGGGGACACAAAGCAATGGCAACCTGGCCCCCTGCCATTGCGGCCAGAGGATCACCTGGGAGTGTGGAGACCGTGGACCTTGCTCCCAAGTCTGATATCACGTGTTACTTTGAGGGGGGATGTGGCTGTCGCATAGATGAGGGCTCTACCCACCAACCCGGGGAGCCAAATTATGATCAGAAGGTTGCCTGGTAAGAGTGGAGTGAGAACTAGACTGAGCGCGTCACAGATTGCTGGATGGTTCTGGCTGGGACTAAAGTGGTTTAGTTCAGTTAAGTGAACTGAAATTGAGGGGTATTTATAGGAGGGGTGGGCCGTGCTTCGGACTGGTGAGGTGTGAGGTGAGGGAGAGGAGGCGTCCAGGCTTCTGGGTGGGACAGCTTGATGGGTGGCACTGCCTCTCATGGAGACAGAGCCTTGGCAAAGAGCAGATTGGGAAGGAAAATGGCACCCTCGGCCCGAGCTCCCTTCGTTTAGCTCTGCTCTGACCTGGTTTTATGACTTAGCTCTTGAAGTCCAGTGTATTTTATTACTTTTAAATTTAATTTTATTTTCAGTGCCCAGGCGGCACCCCAGTTTTGCTCTCCTGCCCTAACGACCTCTTCTGGGTCCCCTCACAGAAGCTTACTGAGCACCTGCTCTAGAGCCAGACCCTGGCTGGAGCCCTGGGAGCTGCTTTCCTTTACAGTCAGGTCTTAGTCGGAAATGCTGAGAAACCTTATGGGTATATGGAAATAACTGGTGATGCAAAAGCTCTCTCCCCGTCAGTAAAACCGCCACCTTGGCTGCAGGGTGGCGGGGGTGGCGATATTGCACTTGCGCCAGCACTGCATCCACTCATTGGCTCTACCGACATCTTTTAGCGACAATCATGTGTACCAGACCCCCTTATCTTATATATATTTGTCCACTGAAATTGTTAGTTGAGCATCTCCTATGTACCAGATGCTGTTTTAGTTCCCCGGGACACATCAGTGGGCACAACAGGCAAACGTCCCCTCCCTGAAGAACTACAGCAATGATCAGAAGAAATAGCAAATTAGATCATGCATTAGAAGGTGGCATAGAAGACAGAAAGAGGGGAGCAGGGTTGCTGAGGTTGGCAGTGGGGGTGGGACAAGGTGCGGTACTGAGCGGGGCGTCGGGGTGGTTTCCTTGAGAAGGGGATCTTTAAGGGGGTGCTTGTTGGAGGTATGGTTGTCAGACGCGGGATGTGGTCCGGGGAGGCCGCAGTTCAAAGAGGTTAAGGGGCCTGAGGGAGGGCACACGACTAGCAAGCTGCAGGCTTGTACCTGAACCCTGGCCTGCCAGCTGCGAGTCCGTCACACTGTGCTCTCCCCACCACAGCGCCTTGTCTTTATCCTCAGGGGCCAGCCCCATACGAGCTGGGAGGCTGGGTGAACACGAGAGTGGTGTAGAGACTCGATCCATTTAAGAAAAAAGTGCTGCTTCTTTTCTATGTTACGTATTCTCTAATATCTTGTTATATTAATATGCATGACTTTTGTAATGAGGGGAAAAAAATCAGTTGTTCCCCTTGAGTCTCTGTGTCTCCAAGAAAGTAAGCTGCCGCTTCTTCCTTGGCCACGTGAGGCATCGCTGGCGTGGAAGTTGCTCCTGTTGTAATCTGGAGGAGTTTTTCATTTTTCCCATTGCAGATTTCTCTGTGATGACCTGTCATCTCCCTGTCTCTGGTCTCTCTGCCTCTCTGTACAGATGCAGAATGTCATGTATGACTTAATCACAGAACTCAATGATCGGAGCGAAGACCTGGAGAAGCAGATTGGGAGCCTGGAGTCCAAGCTGGAGCATCTCACCACCAGCTTCAATTCCCTGCCCTTGCTCATCGCGGACACACTGCGCCAACAGCAGCAGCAGCTGCTGTCTGCCATCATCGAGGCCCGGGGCGTCAGCGTGGCGGTGGGCACCACTCGCGCCCCACTCTCAGACAGCCCGATCGGGATCAGCTCCACCTCCTTCCCGACCCCGTACACAAGTTCAAGCAGTTGCTAAATAAACCTCCCCATTCCAGAAGCATTACCCATAGGTCTTAAGATGCAAATCAACTCTCTCCTGGTCACTTTGCCATCAAGGAACACTGAGACCAGGGGATGTAAAGAAGAGAGACCGAGCTAATTAACTAACCCATGTTCATTCAGCGTGCTTGGTTCGATATGCCTTGAAACCAGAAATCTAATCTCTGTTTAGGTGCCTCTACTTGGGAGCAGGAAGCTGAGATGACAGAAAGCGACGCCTCTGGCAGGGCCCTTGCTGCCGAGCTGGTGGAGAGCAGAAATCCACGCTCAATCTCAGGTGTTCACATGGGGGGAGGAAGCGGGGCCAGATGCGCCAACATGGCCACCAGTGAACCATCCGGAAGAGGGTCCCGCTGGGGGAGGGGGCTCCTCACCACTGGGGTCCTTCAGCACACCTCTCTCTTTTTCTTTTGTCTGGGGAAACCGCTAGATGACAAAAGGACAAAAGAGCTGCCCACATCTTGCCCAAACAGGCATTGTTTCCTTCCACACCTTATACAATCGCAAAACCCAATTTAGACAGAAAAAAAAAACCCCAAAAATAAAAAGCCAGATTTTCCATCCAATATCAATACCCATATAAACCTGTGTGTTTGCAAGCGTGTGCGCACACACACACATCCCACATTCTACCCAGGTCTATTCTTGTTTGAACTTGACTCAAATGGAAAGGGACCTGGTCCCTTCCCTTGCACGCAGTAGGCACTTTCTAAATGTGTGTTGAGTTGGTGTGACCCCAAACATGGGTGCTTTCAGTTCAGGTAGTTTGCTGGTGTCGGCCGCATTCTGAGCTTCACAGAAGATGCAGGTCCTTCAAACGCAACGCAGGTTGCTTCCCCTGCATCGGCACCATGTTTGCTTGGTTTGAGAGGATGCGAAGCTAAAATTGTTGGCATTCTGGATGGATAAGTGGCCTTCTAAAAAGAGCAGCTTTGCAGAGCTTTCTTCTTATATCCAAACAAGTCAAGTTCCTGTGAAGCGCATGACCAGGTGTGTGTGCGTGAAGGGCAGGGGACAGGACCTGCGCATATGTGTGCCCACACATGCACTGACAGGTGCAACCCAGTGACACCTGAGGGAATAGAATTATTGTCTGGGGATTTGCTCAGCTAGATTTATCCAGCAACAGGTTTCCAGATCCAAATGTTAGGAGTACAGAGGATTCTGGAGCCTCGTGTGGTCCCTTCTACCTGACCCGAAATCACCTCACAATGAAAGGTTATGGTAATTAAGGGAGCCCTTGGGGACTTGTGGGTCAGGTAAGATGACACGGATTCATGGCTGTGTCAGTAGCCTGTTCCTACTGTGCCATGTTTACCTTGGTGCCAAAACTATTCTAATATCTCTCAAACTCCAAGAGACTTCAGAAACGTTAAGATCCAGCAGAAGGACAGGCATTGTGAGGAGGGGGCCTGTGGAAGCAAAATAGTTGCATTGCTCCCTAACCCAACCACACGTAACGTGTGCTATGTGAAAACCATCATGTTATTCATCACCTTCTCATTCTGAGGTCTTTGACTTCTGTTTGTGGGGAGTGAAATGATACTGCATGGAATATTTTTATCTGTTTGCAGTAAAAGAAAAGATCGTTACGTGTGCGTGGTCGCCCTACTGGGTCTCACTTTGGGCAGGGACACCATCACCACCCTGAGGGCCTCGTCTGGCTGTGCAGATTCTTCTTCCGCAGCCCTGAGCCTGGTCTTCAAAGCGCAGGGACTCAGTCAAAGGTAGATGGCCCTAGGACTAGGGCCTCCCTCTCAAGAAGATCTGGTCTTTTGCTAAATTTCTTTTATCTATTTTTATTGCTGTCGCTGTTCCTTTAACGGTCTCATGTTTATTTTGATAATCCCTTTGAACATTTTCATTGGTGGCTTTGCATACCACAGATGCCACACTTGCTGTTGGCTTTTTATTTTTTCACTTGTGCTTTTAACTCTTGACTACCGGAAAGATACCTCTCCTTTTTTATGTCCCAAGAATGGTGCTCCTGTTTTCAGTGACGGTTCAGCTGAACAGATCAACAGACGTATAAACAGATGAAATAACCATGCAGTTTCTTTGTGGCATCAGTTTCATTTCACAGAGTGAAGGCCACTGACAGGTCAAGCTGAGAGTGCCAATTCGGACCCTTTAACCTGCGGCCCTCGGCCATCAGTTTCTGTCCACGCTTTCCACTCTGCTGTGACGCTGTGATGTGTGTGTGCATCTGCACACAGGTGGCAATTTAGTCTTCATTTCAAATAAATGACATGCAAGATTCCACTGCCACTTCCCTGCCCAAAAGTGTGCACAGACTACCACTGATCCATCCCAGTCTGTGGATAACTCTTCTTTAATCCATCATGAATGTTGTACACTTAGTTAAGCCCCAAAGACCAAGCTAGCAACACTAGTAAAGGGTGTGGCTGGATTTATTTCCAGTGCCACTAGCCACTGGCACCCTAGAAACACGCGGGCATTTGGAGCATGACTTGACCTATTGGTAGTGCAATAGCTATGTATGGTTTTTATTGTTGGCAAAAGAATACTTATTCTTTCTCAAAAAAGTGATAAAATTTGCATGTTGATCCTGCAATGGCAAATGGAAGGTTGCTTCTCTGTGCTAGTAATTCAGCTTTATGTGGGAAGTTACCCATTCTCCTGCAAGTACAATCAACCCTTGATGACTTAGGTATTGATTGTCCAGGGTGTAGCTCACCCAGGTGTTTCTCGTACAGCCAATCTTTTGGCTAACTCCACTGTGCTTCAGCATCACAGTCAGATGGGAAAAGGGAACAGGTGGATTTTCATACCATGCCTTCTTGTTCCTTATTTTCAAGTTTGATGGTGGAGGAGGTTTAATTATCTACTCAAGAATTGGCTATCCATAAAAACTGTGAATTCTGACAGCCTCACTCCAGTACTGAACTGCCTGAGTTCTGCCCACTTCCGGAAAGCTGACCCAGTGCCAGAGCCCCTACTCTAACCTTTCTGATAACTTAGTGAAAGGTCAAAAGTACCCTAGTGTTCCCTAAAATATCTAGACACTTGAATTAAAAGTACAGGGCCACCCTCTCATCGCTTAAGCCATATTCTAGCCTCATGTACTGTAAAGTAAGGGATGTACTGTGATAATTTAAGACCACTAGTCTCAGTGGAATTTCAGGACATAGAGTCAGTTGGTAAATCATGCCAGACTAGGGGCTCACTCCTCCTTAGATTGAAGTCCAATTAAAAATCACCTTTGGCTCAAAGGCCACATATGTGTGATCATCACGAATAAATTGTCATAAAGTATCTATGAACTGCTCTTGCCATCCTCATAATATGTAACCTCATGAATTCCTATCTCCAGAAATGCTCAATATAATCCAAAAGAGCAAGAGGGGTAAGACCCTCAGCCATCACTACCTAGTGACATCAGTTAGGGACCAGTGGTATAACAATAATCTTGTAACTTAGGAGGTGGAGAAAATGCATGTGCAAGTAAATTCTAAAGTGCCGAGCAGGTGTACACTATTGTTATTTATACAAGAAGAAGAAGGAACAGCATGGAAGAAATAATGACTTTACATGTTTGAGGATTTCCTTCTTAGATTTTTAGTAATTTCCTTGTAAATAAGTAATGGAAAAGAAGAAAACTAGAGAGTCAGGATCATAATAAATAAAATCCTAGCACTGCATCCACATCTTTGGCTGATAAGTATAACCACCTCATACCTCAGATTATTTGTACTTAAAATGAAGATAACAGTGAATATTCTTAAGTACAAAGTATTCAATAGACTTTTTAAAAATGGAATCATTGTTGTCATCAACAGCAAACCAGACTGACTCCCTCCAGTACACACGTTCATGTTCCGTCTGAAGGCAATCAATAGTTACCAAAAAGTCATTATTATACATCAACTAGGGAATGAGATGAGCAGGGAGAAATCCAGGAGAAGCACACACTCCAGGGCCTCTCTCTTCAGCGTGTACTTCAGCAAACAGTGCACCCAAATTAAGAATCAGCATTTCCCCCCCGAACAAACGGTGTTACTGGCATCGCAGCACCACGCCTGGGGCGCCATGAAAGCATTGCACTACCAGTAGGTTACTACTCTTTTTAAGTTACTGCTTTCAAATCCTAACATATGCCCAGTTCTATACAGTCATTCTATTTCCCTGGAAGTTGCTGAGAAGCAGATTAAGGATCCGTTAGTGGTCATTTTGCTGTCTCTACGGACGCCGCAGTATTTGGTTTCAGTACCTTAGCTATCTGGTGGTTTCCTAGTAGGCACAGAAAAGCCCCTTCCCTCTGTAACCCTGTCACTTGATGATGCCCTGGGCAATATCCCTTCCTTCTCTACTGCAGCCAAAGTAATCGTTATGACAATGGGATTATTGATACCACTAAAAAGGAGTGTTACAGGGATAGCAATATTAACTGTCTGCCTCTGGTACAGAATATATTAATAGGTGAGTGCTCTTCATTCTGAAAGCTTATGCCAGGTTGCATGAATAGAAATTAACATTAAACTCCTGTGGACAAGTAATATGTAGATTTTTACTGAAATAGACTGAAGCTTATTAAAACATATTCAGTGCAATGGTAGATAAATGTATACAGACTAGAGAAAAAAATAACTGTGATCTTTTTTTTTTTACACCATTACTGGAAGCACCCAAACATGAACTGGAGTTCCCTCTGAACAAAACCATTATCAAATCTTCAACGTATGACCTCCAATCTAGGTGCCAAGTGCCCTGCGACACTTATTTACACACCTGAGAAACACATTGTGGAAGCTGTAATCGTGGACCTGAACCATGAAACAAACAAAAGAGATGTTGTGACCAACCAAGCTGATGGAAGAAAAGCACAAAATTCAATACCAACCTGAAGTTAAGATCCCAAAGAGATGCTGAATTTATAGCAAAAAAAAAAAAAAAAAAAAAAAAATCAATGACAAATCAAACATGAATCCAATTAGAACAGCTGACAACCAGATTCACAGAAGAAGGACAGGGATTAAATGACATTCTCTAGCTGTGTCACATTATCTCAATTTTCGAATCTCAATCAGGACCAATCCACCTTCATGGACACCATTTTAATGGCACAGCAACTCAGCCTTGGTCCCCGACTCTCGTTCCGCACTGACCAGAAGCAAACAGCAAAAGAGACTGACAGGATGTTAACGGAGGAAACATTTTCATGGCAAACTCAGAAACTGAAGTGTTTATATTCAGAACCAGATGAGCTTCAACATGAA